AAAAAAAAAAAAAAGAAAAGAAAGAAAATGAATGAATACAATAGTGACAACTGGGACAAAGGGGGTCGTGGGGCCCAGGCGGAGGGAGCGGCGTGCCGTGCGTGGCATTTTGAGGCAGTGGGTGTGTGGGAGGGTGGCCTGGGTGGCCACCGTGGCGTGGGAGCAGCGTCTCACTGCCATCTGCCTTCTGCCCCAGCTGAACCGTCCGGCCAACCTCAGTGCCTCCGTCGCCACAGTCCAGCTGCCACAGCAGGACCAGCCAGTGCCCCACGGCACCCAGTGCCTGGCCATGGGCTGGGGCCAAGTGGGCACCCACGACCCCCCAGCCCGGGTCCTGCAGGAGCTCAATGTCACCGTGGTCACCTTCCTGTGCAGGCCACACAACGTGTGCACTTTCGTCCCTCGCCGTAGTGCTAGCATCTGCTTTGTAAGTAACATCGCTCCCCGTGGCGATCCGGGCTGCCCTGAGGGGAGGAGGGCAGCTGTCAGGGTTCCACACCACCTCCTAGCTGTACGGCTTCATGCTGTGCCTGTCTCCCGACCTGGAAGGCAGGCACACCCAACACCCAATGGGCAGGCTCGGTGGGCTGGGGCACTCACATTGCACCTGGCTTCCTGGGTGGGTCTGGGGGTCCCTTGCCCCCCACTCCCCCCTAGGACCACAGGAAGGTGTGGGAGACCCATATGCCCTCACCTGGCGGCCCCTTCCGGAATGCAGGAGTCCAGGTATCCAGCGGGAGGCCCATAAATGCCCAGTTCCTACAAATGACCTCAGCCCCTCCCTGCTCACACTTTTTTTTGTTCGTTTTTGAGACAGAGTGTCGCTCTGTTGTCCAGGCTGGAGTGCAATGATGAGATCTTGGTTCACTGCAACCTCCATCTCCCAGGTTCAAGGTATTCTCCTGCCCCAGCCTCCTGAGTAGCTGGGTGCATAGATGCCTGCCACTGTGCCTGGCTAATTTTTTGGTATTTTTAGTAGAGACGCAGTTTCTCCGTGTTGACCAGGCTGGTCTTGAACTCTAGGCCTCAAGTGATCCACCCATCTCGGCCTCCCAAAGTGCTGGGATTACAGGCGTGAGCCTCCATGCCTGGCTGGTGCTCACACATGTTAAAGAAAATTCCAGGCCAGCAGCGGTGGCTCACACCTGTAATCCCAGCACTTTGGGAGTCCGAAGTGGAAGAATCGCTTGATTCCAGGAGTTTGAGACCAGCCTGGGGCAGGACGGCATCTCTACAGATAATTTAAATATTAGCCAGGTGTGGTGGTGTGAGCCTTTAGGCTCAGCTACTCAAGAGGCTAAGGCAGGAGGATCGCTTGAGCCAGGCAGTTAGAGGTTGAAGTGAGCTATGATTGTGCCACCGTGCTCCAGCCTGGGCGACAGAGCGAGACCCTGTCTTGAGAGACCCGGGGAGGCTGAGGCAGGAGAATCGCTTGAACCCGGGAGGCAGAGTTTGCAGTGAGCCAAGATCACGCCACTGCACTCCAGCCTGGACGACAGAGCTAGACTCTGTCTTAAACAAAACAAAACACAACAAAACAGGAGAAAGGAAGGAAGGAAGGAAGGGAGGGAGGGAGGGAGGGAAAGTTCCAAATTGGAAGCATTTGATTCTGAAACAGCTTGTGGTCACCCCAGCCCCCGTCCTGGCTGCCTGGGGCCAGCCTGGGTGACTGACCATCCTCCATCCTCCAGGGAGACTCAGGTGGGCCCCTGATCTGTGACGGCGTCATCCAGGGGGTAGACTCCTTTGTGATCCGGGAATGTGCCACCCGCCAGTTCCCCGACTTCTTCGCGCGGGTAGCCCTCTACGTGGACTGGATCCGTTCCATACTGCGCCGTGTGGGGGCGGAGGGCCGCCCCTGAGCCGCCCCTACAGCGCTGGCCGGGACCCGAGCCCGGCTGCAAACCCTCGAGGGGGATCTTTGGACAGAAGCAGCTCTTCTCCGAACACTGCCTCCTCCACCCGGGTCCAGGACGGCCCCACCCGTCCCCCCACACTGCCTCCCTCGGGGCTCCGGGAGACAGGCCGGCCCTGCACCTCTCCCTGCCGTGACCTCAATAAACGTTGAAACTCCCCCCGGCTCCTGTCTGTCCTTCCCACATAGGGAGGGGAGGGAGAACTGCCCAGAGGTCCCCAGGGTTCAAGTCCCTGAGTCCCAAACTCAGGATGGGGGGAGTCGGAGCGGGGATGGGGGCCCAGGTCACGGGAGGGGTCTCTCTCCTGGATGCTCGTGGCTGTGGGTTCTAACCCGGCCCCATCAAAGTGGCCCTGGGCAGGTTGTTATTCATCTCCGTGCCTCAGTTTCCTCATCTGGAAAATGGAGTCACCCCAGACGTTTTCTAGAACTGGCGAGAAGCCCATGTGGGCCCTCAGGGCTCCCACTGTGTCCCTGCCGGCTCAGGGGCTCCTTGAGGAGGCAGATGGGGATGGGGGAGCACCCTGGAGGGCTTCCTGGAGGAGGTGGCAGTGCCAGAGCTGCATACCAAGGTGTGAACAGAAATATCCTAAGGGCCACCAGGCAGGGGGCATGGTCTGGGCAGAGGTTTGAGGGCGAGAGGCCAGGGAATGGGAAGGAGGGCAGGCAGGGGAGGGGTGTGGGTGCAGAAGAGGGGTGATGGGGTTGGAGCGCTATTTCTCCTAGGAGGAGTAGGCAGGGGAGGAGTCCCCTGGTGGAAGCATGAGGAATGAACTGGGGGGTGGCCAGAGGGGCGGTCCGAGGCGGGGAAGAGGTTGGACTCACAGTTCAGCTCAGACGGACAAGTGGCCATGAGAAGGAGGCATTAACCACGGAGAGGGGACGACCTGCTCCAGGACACACATAGCTCCTTGCTGTCCTTTTTCTTTTTCTTCTTTTCTTTTTTTTTTGAGACAGAATGTTGCTCTGTCGTGCAGGCTGGAGTGCAGTGGCCTGATCTCGGTTCATTGCAACCTCCACCTCCCGGGTTCAAGCGATTCTCCTGCCTCAGCCTCTGGAGTAGCTAGGATTACAGGCACAGGCCACCACACCCGGCTAATTTTTATATTTTTAGTAGAGATGGGGTTTCTCCATGTTGGCCAGGCTGGTCTCGAACCCCCGACCTCAGGTGATCCACCCGCCTCAGCCTCCCAAAGTGCTGGGATTACAGGCGTGAGACACTGCAGCCGGCCTACTTAATTATTTTTGAGACAGGGTCTCACTCTGTCACCCAGGCTGGAGTGCAGTGGTGCAGTCTTGGCTCACTGCAGCCTCAACCTCCTGGGCTCGAGTGATCCTCCCACCTTAGCCTCCCAAGTAGCTGGGACCACAGGTGCCACCACACCCAGCTATTTTCTTATTTCTTTGTAGAGACGGAGTCTGGCTGTGTTGCCCAAGTGGGTCCTCAGTGACTCTTTACATATGAACACCTCCAGGTTGCTGTAATCTTAGCATGCTCCTGGCCTCCCGGAAGACCCCACATCCCCCTTGGAGTCTATACCCCGCTGTGACCATAACAACCCTACCTTCCCTGCCACAGTTAATGGTTAACAAGCTCTCAAAGGCAACATTTTCTTTTTTCTTTTTTTGAGACGGAGTTTCGCTCTTGTCGCCCAGGCCGGAGTGCAGTGGTGCGATCTCAGCTCACTGCAACCTCCGACTCCCGGGTTCAAGTGATTCTTCTGCCTCAGTCTCCCGAGTAGCTGGGAATACAGGCATGTGCCACCAGGCCTGGCTAATTTTGTACTTTCAGTAGAGACGGGGTTTCTCCATGTTGGTCAGGCTGGTCTCGAACTCCCGACCTCAGGTGATCCACCCGCCTCAGCCTCCCAAAGTGCTAGAATTACAGGCGTGAGCCACTGTGCCCGGCCAGACAACACTTTCTTAGCTAAGAACTTTACGAACGTTAATTTATTTCACCCTCGTGATAGGTTTATGTGATGGATCCTAAGATTGTAATTTTACAGAGGAGGAAACTGAGTCGTGGAGTTTATTTCAGGGGCCTGAAGCTACACAGTGGCCAAAAGGCCACACCAGAACCAGGATATGAACCCAGCGTTGGCACACTTAACAATGACTACACATGTGAATGTAGTATACAGCTGGTGCTCAATAAATGCAGCTGATGCCAAGTCTGATCTCCCTGCTGGAGGCCAAGCACCCCCCCAAAGATATGGCCACCCCCACCCCTAATGTCCCCCCAGTCCCGACTTGAAACTGGGCTGTGTATACAGCAGGTGCTTACTAAGTGCACCATGGTGATGTTAAGGCAGCAAGGTGGGAATCCTGCCAAAAGGGGAGGGGAGAAGGCAGGGTAGTGTGTGTCTGATTACGCTGAGGACAGGACAGACGTGGATGGAGTGCCTGCTGTGTGCCAGGCTCTGGGAGGGCAGGGTCATTGTCCCTCTAACCTGAGAGCTATGGGAGTCCACTTGTCTGTGGTCACATCAGGACTCCAGCCCGGCCCAGGCTCTGCGTGTCCCCGGGTGCCCTCCCTCGCCCCGCCTGCTCCTGGAGACAGGCCCGTTGGTTCCCTTCCCCTCCCCTTGTCCCGGAGCCAGGAGGACGTTGGTTCTTGCAACAGCCTTGGCCCGGCCGTTGCAGCTGGAACATCGTGGGGGAGATGGGAAGAGGAACCGGGCCCAGAGCCCGGGGCTGGGTTCTGGGAATCCCATCCCCGTGGCTGGGGCTCCAGCTCCCCTGCCAGTTCCTCCAGGCAGAAGCCCTCAGGCTTGGGTGGACATCCTCATTCCAGCCTCCCGGCCTGGGCAGGAATTCTCTCTCCAGCACCCCTGCCTGCCGGTCCCCTGCCTCAGGCGGGGAGGGCTTCGGGGAAGCTCACCAAGGCAGAAGGGCGGGAGAGACTGTCAGAGCCTCAGCTGCTGTCCAGGGACTGACCGTGAGCCTGGGTGAGAGTGAGTTCCCCGTTGTGGGTGACCGCCAAGGACAGGATGGAAGGCCTGGCCCTGAGAGTGAGCCCTGAGGTTCAGGGAGCAAGGCTGGAGTGAGCCAGCTCCAGATCTCCGTGAAGCTGTGGATCCCAGAGACCTGGGTTAAACTCGCAGCTCCTGGGGAGGCCCTTGACATGCCTCAGTTTCCTCATCCCAAACAGGAACCCTGAGAAGGATCAGGGAGGTGCCTGTTGCACCGTGAGTGCCCGACACAGCTGCATGTGGCCGGTATCACAGGGCCGTGGGTAAACTGAGGCAGGCGACACAGCTGCTTGTGGCCGGTATCAGAGGGCCCTGGGTAAACTGAGGCAGGCGACACAGCTGCATGTGGCCGGTATCACAGGGCCCTGGGTAAACTGAGGCAGGTGAGGCCACCCCCATTAAGCCCCTCAGGTCTAGGTTTGGCAGGTTTGGCAAAAACACAGCAATGCTCAGTAAAACCTGGGCATTTCAGATAAGTATATCCTTATACTTACATTAAGACTTAAGTATTTAAGTCTTAATTTATTAAAGACTTACTGGGACAGACTTAAATTTAAAAAAAAAAACCTCTGAGACCAGCCCGGCCAACACAGAGAAACCCGGTCTGTACTAAAAACACAAAAATCAGCCGCGTGTGGTGATTTCACCTGTAATCTCACCTATTCAGGAGGCTGAGGCAGGAGAATCACTTGAACCTGGGAGGCAGAGGTTGCAGTGAGCCAAGATTGTGCCACCGTACTCCAGCCTGGGCGACAAAGCAAGACTCTGTCTCCAAAAAGCTAAATAAAAAACCCACGTCGATTATTTGACATTCAAACGCGATTGCGCATCCTGAATTTTGTCTGGCGGCCCCACCCGAGCCAACCCCAGCCTCTTGCCCCCTTTCTCCCCCTTTTCATCAACGCCCTGTGCCAGGAGAGAGGAAGTGGGGGGCGCCGGCCAGCCGTGGGGCAATGCAACGGCCTCCTGGCACAGGGCTATAAGAGAAGCCGGGTGGGCACGGAGGGGCAGAGACCCCGGAGACCAGCCTCACCATGACCCTTGGCTGCCGACTCTCCTGCCTTTTCCTCGCCTGTGTCCTGCCGGCCTTGCTGCTGGAGGGTGAGTCCTTGTGTCCATCCTTCCGCTGCTCCCTCTGTCCCTGGGGTTCTGTTCCCACTTCTTCATGGTGGGCCCCACCAGTGTGGGTCCCTCATCCTCACTGGGGAGGTGCCATCTGGGACAAGGGGACCAGGAGAAGAGACTGAGGTTCTGAGTGGTGAAGCCACTACCAGGAGCCCAGAGTTGGGGTTTGCAAACCGAGGAGGGGGGGGCTCGCAGGGCGCCCTCTGGGTTCAAGTCCAGGTCTGGCTGTGCCTTGGAGGGGCACCGTGGGGAGGTCCCTTTGCCTCTCCGTGCCTCAGTTTCCCTCATCTGAACAACAGGGGTGTGAATGGTCCTGATCCCGTGAGTTCCTGGTGGGGGCCGTGGGCTCCTGGTGGGGGATCCTGGGGTTCCTGGCTGTGGGTCCCGCGGGTTCCTGGTGGGGTATCCAGGGGCCCCGTGGCCGGGAAGGCACGGGCTCCCTGTCAGGCACTCAGCACCCACACCCGGTGTGTCCCCAGGCCCCGCGCTGGCCTCGGAGATTGTGGGCGGTCGGCAAGCGCAGCCCCACGCGTGGCCCTTCATGGCGTCCCTGCAGCTGCGTGGAGGCCACTTCTGCGGCGCCACCCTGATTGCGCCCAACTTCGTCATGTCGGCCGCGCACTGCGTGGCGGACGTGTGAGTAGCCAGGAGGGTGTGCGCCCGGCTCGGACCCGCGTCCCGGTCTGAGAACGGTCGGGGGAGGCCAGGGCCCCAGGGCGGCTCCGGCACCTTCCCCCGCAGGCCCCTCGGGTGGGGACCCCCTGACCCCCAGGGCGCCCCTCGCCACCGCCTCTCCTCCCAGCAGAAACTTCCGCTCCTTGCGCGTGGTCCTGGGAGCCCATAACCTGCAGCGGCGGGAGCGCACCCGCCAGGTGTTCGCCGTGCAGCGCGTCTTCGAAAACGGCTACGACCCCATCCACTTCCTCAACGACATCGTGGTTCTCCAGGTGCCGCGGGGCGCGGGGGGAAGGGACACCCGGGGCGGGGGGCGCAGGGGCAGAGGCCAGAGGCCTGGGGAGGGTGGAGGTGGCGACGCAGGGGCGCGTCGGGGCCGCTTGTGGG